TGGCAACATAAATGTTTTTGCACTGGTGTTGTTTCTTGAAAAAATTTGCAATATTGCCAAGCGTTTCACCTGCACCAACTACGATGTCAGTAGTGAGGTCTTGTGGTGGGAAAAGCAACCAATCAGTAGGGACATCATAACCTGGTTGCTCCTCTACTTCAGCAATGGTAACACCATACCTGGCAGCTGCTCCCTTATCAATTTCACTGGATGAATTTTGTGGGACCAAGAACCTGACTTTAACCTCAGCAAATTTTGCCAATTGAATAGCCAACTCTTGGGAGAGGAATGAAGAATCAAAACGTGGAAAACCCCAACTGGATCCTAAGATAGTAACTTCCAATGGACTCTTTGAGGAATAGCTTCCATTGCCTTGCTTTTTCACTTGTTCAGCATAATTTGTAATCTCATCTGTGTTAGATATCTGCAAAAAGAAGAACCTAATGTCTCAGAAGTTGCGACTTACCACCAGTATCTGCATTTCTGTCATGCTGTCAATTATTCAGCTAATTACATGTACAATTAAGTCAAGCTTAGATTTTTGGCTCCTAGTCACACTGCAGTGTATTGTAGTTGCTGTGCAAAACAAATGATGTATTTTTTTTTTAATTTGCTCGAACAATGAATGATTTGCCAGTAATCGGATACCCATCTTATGTGCAAGGAACTCTGGGATCGCCAGGGGGCAAACATTGCAAGTCGCTAGAAGGAAATCTATAGCGAAACGTTGTTTCGACGTCCAAAAAGACGATTTTGGGGAGAGATCAACACTTTTTCGCCGTTTTTTTTTATCGAAAATGGATTTGGGCAATGTTGATACGTGGAAAATGTAAATTTTCGTTTGAATAACCGTGAAATATGTGATTAAAAACTACCGATAACCTCCCTTACTTGCGTGAGGTTTATTGTGAAATTTACATTGAATAGAATATTTAAAACTTGAAAACACTCCTTGGTTCGAGAGGCTACCCGGAGAAAAAGGTAGAAAAGACTCTCTGAGAAGTTAGATATAAAGACAGACAAGCTCTAAAACAGAAAACGTGAACGCACAAGAAATTTCTACCCTTTGTCACCCGATTTCAACTGCATTATCAAAATGTGAAAAGCATAATCAAGGGCAAATGGCATTTTAAATGCAGATACTCAGAGAGATATTCAAGGAGCCAGCTAGAAAAGGAAAATCGCCTAAAGACGTGCTTATAAAAGCAAAACAACAGCTTTGAACAACACAATGGCCACACAGCATGAGTCGCGAGGTCTGTTTACTCATTTTAATCAACTCCACACAGCACAATGATCGCCACCGGGATTATTTCCAATAATATTTATATAATTGAGCTTCAAAATAAGCCAAAAGTAGCCTTACTCAACTTGAAAGGTTTTTCTGGGTTATTCCTCTTGATTTATACCTAAGTTTGTAATATTTTCAGATCATTACGCGATGTAATTCACAACAAACCTC